TGTGTTTACGTAATTATATCAAGTAAAATATCTGTAAATGTTAGCGAAAATGGACGTTGGATGACATTCGTGTAATTTCCTATACTAATACGTCAGTTAGACTCCGGTTACGCATTTGAGCGGCTTTTTCATTGAAAGGATATTAATTTGCCCATGAGAGTTTTAATAAACAGGTTTAGCCGGGCTATAAATTTTATTTTAAATTCTATGATAGCCATGTTGATCCACCTGCTAACACAAAGGTTATTTTAAGAAAACCAGAGGTTTTATCAATTTTATCAACGGAGTGCAGTAATAAAGCACTTCTTAAAGAGGTAACTTACTACCGAAAGTTTTTTCATTGATCAAAGGCATATTCGTTGCTGACTTTCGTTGTGGACAGACATTTTTCTCGAACATGAAGTTTTATGTTTGAATGAGTCTTCAAATGTGACCCAAACGACCATCATCGTGAAAAGGAGCGCCCAAACACTCACTAATTCGGTAAATGCCTTCAAGAATAATCTTATTTTTAAGTTCTCAACAGACAGGCAATTCAGAATCTGTCTTTATGGACGATCGGGTGAAAACACTGAAAATCACTAAGTATTCAGCAACATTTCGAGGACGATTTGAAACTCAACGTGATCCAAACCGAAAGAGAAGTGTAAATTAATTTAACGGAAGAATATTGATCTCCACAAACTCAAAATGGCACGTTCACGATCACGCCTGTCAGTTCTATTTAAATTTATTAGGCACCGACCGGTCTCGTGGCATGTCACCTTATGAAAACTTTTGTTCCTACGACGTCCCCATCGGTGAAATCAAGCAAAATCCAGCTTCTCTTGTTGAACCCCATCTCATTTACTTTAAACAAACAAAATGAAGGAGGACTCACTGGAAAACTGTTTTGGAGTCTGCACTCAGAATGTAGGCAGTTGACACACCGTCATATATGAAATCACACTACTCATTAAACGATATTTAGGTGTAAACTTCACTAAAACACTGTTGTAAGACGTTATTTTATGTCTACTTTTATATTTACTACGTTTTTTGTATGATAATACATTCTGTGCATCTAAAAACGACGTTTACCAAATTAGAGCCATTTCTGACGTTTTCGGGATATTGCGCTTTTCAAAATAAATCGGACTTTCTAAATAACGCAACACTGTCTTTAACAATTCTTTTGTGTTTTGAATGCTTTTAAACTTGTAGTTAATTAACATAGAAGTCGGACTCGTGAAATGGTGTCGGTTTGCGAGTGATTAGCAATCATTCGTAAATTTCGACACATTTCATGCGTTAGGTCACTAACTGTATATTTTGGTAGGGGCGCTCACCGATCGTTCTTCCGGAACTCACTCGTTCCGTCGTGCCTTACGGGCTCTCTCTCTCTCAAGCCCAACCAGCAGCCGCACAGCGGCGCATGATATAGGCAGTATGTTATTACCGACAAAGACAAGGGAGACTGAAATGGCCATTTCTGGCGTATTAGCTGTCGTTAGCCAGTCATAAAGGAGAGCCGAACCCCTCGCAGTTGTGTCATGCAGAGGCAGAGTATCAGCGAAACACATATCTGGGCTTTGAGTTGTTACACGTGTCCGGAGTTCGGTATGGTATCTTTGATGCATACATTTCATACTACTTGTGGTAGTACTCGTTTGTTGAATTGGTATTACGTGGTTATCCTAGATTAGTCGATTGTCTTCGACTATTGGGCTCGTGGCCCAGTGGCTAGAGGCGTGTACATCTAACCAACAGGTCGCGAGTTCGAGCCTCGCGTGTTCCACGCTTCGGGATTGGGTATGACTGACTGGCGACGGCTAATAAGCCAGAAATTGCCATTCCAGTCTTGCCTGTCTTTGTTTGTAATAACATACAGCCTATATTATTTTGTGTTTATAAATAGGACTTTTTCTTACGTTAAATTAACGTGTAATTTTAGTCTCTTCAGGATAACGCTGCTGATTTTCAGTGTTGTCATCCGATCGCCCATAAAGAAAGATTCTGTAACATGTTTCTGTTAAACTTTTAAATAAGGCATTTATCGAAGTAGCGAGTGTTTGGACGTTCTTTTTCATGAAGAAGGTCGTTTGAGTCGAATTTGAAGACTCACTCAAGCATGAAACTTCATTCTCGAATAGAATAGCTGTCCACAACGAAAGTCAGTAACAAATAGGCTTTCAATCACAATTTGAAAACCCTCTCTAATAAGGTACCTCTTTAGGAAGTGCTTTCTTACTGCACTCCGTTGACGGATCTCTGTGTACTTTGCACTTTTGCACGGTGAGGCCAAGAAAAAAATATGACAATTTTGGCCGTTTCTTTCACCTTCCTAAACCATACTGGCATATTTCTACCGTAAACGCAAGACTATATCTTTCTTCTCTATATATTGCGGCCATTTTCATTGTTTTTGCTCGCGTTTAGACTCCGTCCTTCGATTATGAATGCACGAGAGAGCGTCCACATAAAAACTGATATTCTGATGAAACTGCTCATGTTTGGCTCCTTCCATTTCTGAATAAGGCATTTGCGCAAGCTAGACTACACGGCGAGGAATGTTTCTTATCTTCAAGACTGGAAATGGCCATTTGGTAGTGGTCATTTCTGTGACATTACGTTAAATCCTCTAAACGGCAAAACAATTTCAGCCCATTTAAACGAAGGAGTCCCTGTCTGCGTTATTACTGCACTTAAGGGCACCAAGTCGCACTGACCTGCTAATATGACTTTTTTTAAAAATCGTGAAAATATTTGGTTATTTTAAAGTGACCTTTGTGTGGGCAAATTGATTACCACGGTTAGGATCGGACATGAAACAAATTCTCAAGTCCGCAAACCTCTGCTTATTAAAACTCCCGTGAGTAAATTAGTCTCCTTTTAAAGAGGAACACGCTTAAATGCACAACCGAAGTCTAGGACAGATATTAGCATATGAAATGGCACGAATATATTGTAGCGGTTATTTCCGCCAAAAAAAATATTTAATGTTTTGCTGGATATAATTGCGCAAACACAATTTCTGCACAAGAAAAGGACATTTCATTGAAGGGGCCAAATAAGCAATCAAAATGCGTAACGTTTTAGACGTTACGTATTCTCTTTGGGTATTTATTTGCGAACGTTACTAAAGGACTGTCTTTAAAATTATTCCAAGTGAACTTTTTTATTTGCTCGTTTTTCCGCATGGACATACGAAAGCCCACCCAGCCACCCACCCTTCTCTGCTAAGCGATGCACCTAAACTGTACGTCTGTTTAGTCGGACGACCATGTGGTTTTCACGAGTATTCTTTGTCAGCACAAAACGAACCAAAACCCAATGGCAATAGTTGAATTTTCGCAGACGGTGTCCTCATTAGTAAGTTACACGTCAGTCCATTTGGCTTTGAAAGTGCGCCATCGGCGGTTTCTAGCCCACGTAGCCCTGACCAATAAAAATAACTCGGGGGTTCTGGCCTAAGCATTACACCACATAACTGTGCCGACTATTGCCCAATCGAATCCGCACTTTGAAATCGGCCAATCAGGACCCGAAGGTCACGAGTGCGTGCGGGCGGGTTCAAACTGTGCTGGCACTATAAGAGGCAGTGCTAATGGCACTCGAGATCATTCGTCGCTCCTGATCCGGTTATCACTCGAAATGGCGCTCGCAGACGTCGAAGTATTCGAGGACGCAGTCCCCCTGGTTCGTAGCTGTCCAGCCCTCAACGAGATTCGCACTTCGGGAGAATTGAAAGAGCTCGTCATAGAGGTAGACTTCCTTTCTGTTGCCGTTCTTTACACGGCAATTTGTTCATGCTTGTTAGGTGAAGGACGGCGCTATTCTCAATGCCCATCGAATAATACTAGCGGCACGGATTCCGTCATTGCGTGCTACTCTCAGTGGCGCCCTTGGGAAGGATAATTCGGTGCTAAAATGGCCGACGGTGCCTCTGAAGTAAAATCATCCTCCTTTCTCTGATTTTGCTTTTGCACTTTCTAGCCTCGCAAATTCAATCATCCAGTATGTGTACACCGGGCAGTTGGAGGTAACCCAAACGAATGCGATGGCCATAGTGATGTTTGCCAAAATGATGAAACTGTCTGATCTGGAGAATTGGGGAGTGCAATTCATGACCAATAGGTAAGCAAGTGCCGGTTCTTTCTGTCTAACCGTCGGCTGTAAAGAGTGAATTTAGAAAATCTGGCAACCACATGGGACTTTGCCAAATCTGTGCGCATGGGCTCACTGATGGAGACTTGCATCAATCTGATGCAAGAGCAGTTTAGGAGTTTCGTCTCGTCTGACCTCTTTATTCGCCTGCCAGCTGACACCGTGCTGACGTTGTTGCGAAACGACAATCTGTCAGTGGATTCCGAAGAGGCAGTTTTTGAGGCGATTTCAAGCTGGGTGGCTGCCGGCGATAAAGAGTGCGACAATGAGAGACTGAGATTGCACGCCCCGGAAATGCTAAAGGAGGTTCGTTGGTGTCAGACGACTCTCCAATTTCGCAATCGCCTAGTCGATAGTCATCCAATTTTCCAGGAAGGCAATAGCTGTGCGTAAGTATATGCTGTTCCACTTCGTCATTTATTTTCTAATGAAAGTCGCTTTATGGCTCTGGTGGAGAAGTGGATTAGCAACGCAGACAAGGACAAGCCTCCATGTCCCTTCAACCGACGTCGGAGACCGCCTCAGACGATCTTCGTATTTGGAATGGACAAAGATCTGGACAGGTGGTCTGTTCTGCGTTACAATCCGCAGCTGGAAAAAGAGGAAAGGATTGCTGACATGGAGGAGCGAGAATACGCCACCTACAGTGTCGTGGGCGGTGAGTTGCCTGACAGTTACGCACCTCCTCTTCTACGCACCTGCCTTGTTTTCCTCTTTGTCTAATTTGACCAGTTGGTGTCTCTTTTTGCCAGAATTATAACAAACACACACACAGTCCTGCCAGTAAAGCTGCCATCGCCACACAATGCATAGGATTGCAATAGCAGTAATTGAGGGCTTTTGAGGTCTCGGAGATGTCCATTCGCCTGGCCTGTCCCGACGCGTTAGTTTTTTCCGTCTTCAATTTCTTCTGCGCAATTTTATGAGACTTTTTTCTATCCCACCTCACCCCCACGGAAGAGAGCATTTTCGTGGTTGGAGGAGACACTGCGCAAGGTTGGTACTCCACGAGTGTCGAGGAGTTTCTGGTGGCAGAACGGCGCTGGCGCAAACGGGCGTCCCTCGCCGTCGGACGCCGCTGCCACGCTGCCGCAGTTCTGACGGAAGCCGGAGGGGAGGCGCTGATCGGCGTTTTCGGTGGATGGGGTAACGATGGATGCCTTTCCTCTTGTGAAGTCTATGAAGTCAGTCGGGACAGGTGAGAGCACACTCGTCCTGGCGCCGCTTCTTTTTTCTTGCAAAATCTCCCTGTTTTGCCTCCTCACGCGTCTCCTCCTCCTCCCCCCCAACACACACAGGTGGTTCAAACTGCCCGATCTGCGAGAGAAGAGGGACGCCACAGCTGCTGCCTGCCTGCCCGGCGACAGTCGAATCTTCGTTTTTGGCGGCTTCAATGGCTCCTCCTTCCGGCTGGCTTCTGTGGAGTTCTGCCACCTGCGAGCAGACTGGCGAGAGAGGGCGACCTCGTCGGACTTTTGGCAGCCAGCAGCACCCATGAGAACTGCACGAAGCAAGCTGGCAGCGACACACTTTCGGGGGAAAATCATTGTCGCCGGGGGATTTGTTGGTGAAAAGGTGGTGGAGATGTTCACACCACCAGATGCCAGGTGTCCCCGGGGCCAGTGGACAGACTTGGCCGGCATGAAGGAACCCCGCTCGCTTTTCGCCCTTCTCACCTCCACCGACGACGCCATCTTTGCTCTCGGTAATGATGCCTCCTCCTGCTCCTTTGCTCTACACTGATTGCATTCCTTCTCAACTCTCTCCTCTTTTTCATGCCATTCCATGGCCTTTTCTGTGTAAGTCCTTTTTATGAGGAAGATTAAGACATCCCTAGTGATGGTAATCATGTGAAAGTGTTACTTTGCATGGCGTTTCGTAAACACAACGAGGTTAGGACCGATGGTAGTCCGTTTGTAGTGCAAATCGTCTGCTTATTAAAGTAGATTTTTACGAGAATTATGCAGCAGAATGGTTAAAGCCTCTTCAGTAGGTACTGCGTTCAAAACTTACTTTGTCTACTCTGAGTTTTATTGAAATAAATTTTTGTCTGGCGGTATTGTGCAAATCGTATGCTAATTTTGTCTATTTTGATATTTATGAAAGTAGAATTTCACTGGAATTATTCGCAATTTTCAGGCTCAGGAAACACGGTGGAGACTTTCACAGCACCAGGCGGATCAGCTGATGTCATCAACGACTTGACAGCTTGGAGCTGGTCGTCGAAGAAACCGCTGGAGACGCTCGCAAAGATCGCAGGAGCTGCAAGCATTCGTCTGTAAACTTCTGCGTTTCTTGATGTTCCTTCTATGACCCGCATGTTGAGAAATAAACGACTTGCAAAGTAACCTGTTTTGTCGTTTTTTTTGAAAAAATCCAATGGGTGTGCAGTGCCCAACACCTAAGGCAACCGATTAATGGCGTGATTATCTCTGCAAGGAATGAAATGCATGAACCAGTTATTTTTTACGAGGGAGATGCTCGTTTTCGGGATATATGCCTGATTATGGGGAGAAATCATTGTCGCCAGCGGATATTATACTGGAGAAGAATGAGATTTAGTGGTGATGTTCTCACCGCCAGGTGTCCCCAGCGGGTTTAATAAGCATGGCCTCCAATTTTTTGTTAAAAAAAACCCCAAAAGGGTGTAAAGTGTCCAACACTTGGGGTGAAACATAATCTCTAGCATATCTTTACGAGGAATGAGAGATGTGGTCGAGGTAAGTTTAGCAAATAGATGCCCACCTGCTGACGTAGTGAGGAACGCAGTAAGATCGCAGATCGGGGAGCTTGTGTGTTAATGTGAATGGCACACGTACTACTTACTGAGGCGACAGGAGCAGTTAGAGCGTGGACGGCGGACCTGGCACTATGAATTAGGACAGATGTCACCAAGTCTGAATAGTGTCCCACTCCAAAAGCAAATTTGCCCACCCCCACGAAATGCGATAGACTGGTGTGTGAGTTGCTTTCGGCCTTCTCTTTTAGGGGAAACGTTACACTCCTTAGTATTCGGTCGACGGAAGATGTCGGATGCATGTACGCTGTCTGTCTCCGTAGCATAAATTGATCCTTTTCTTCATCTAAAAAAGATTAAAGGTTGGACTGTCTCGGGATTTATGCTTAGCAAAGATTTCACCGAGCACGACGAGCTCGCATGAATGATGTCAAGGGTATTTAACATAACGCATGTTCAAATATAACCCAGGTTAGTGATTTGGATGTAACCAGAGATACGATTAACTGAATCGGCACTAGCTGCGTGGGAACGCCCTGCTTCTTGTTGCGTACCAGGTGGACTATCAGTTATCAGGGGCGCACCTCGAGTTGGTGGCCCCTGGACCGTGAGGTGGCCTGCGTGTCTGACGAGAGAAAATCGATCGTGCCGAACCTGACACAACAACAGGCACAACCCCTGCAGCCTCCATCATCAGACGTGAGGGCCAGGACTACATGATATTAGAGAAGAATTAGCCGTAGTGGTGATGTTCTATCCACCAGGTGTCCTCAGGGCAAAAAACATGACATCCCAATTCTATTTTTAAAAACTGCGAAAGTGTCTTAATTGTATAACGCATGGGGTGAAAATCTCTAGCGTATCTCTGCGAGGAATGAGAGATGTGGTCGAGGTTAGTTTAGCAAAGAGATGCCAACTTGCTGACGAAGTGAGTAACACTAGTAAGATCGCAGATCGGGGAGCTTGTGTGTTAATATGAATGGCACACGTACTACTTACTGAGGCTACATGAACAGTTAGAGAGTGGACGGCGGACCTGGCACTATGAATTAGGACAGATGTCACCAAGTCCTAATAGTTTCCCACTTCTAAAAGCAAATGTAGCCCACCCCCACGAAATGCGATAGACTGGTGTGTGAGTTTCTTTTGGCCCTCTCCACTAAGGGAATTCGGCATAAGTGATTGTGACCTGATATGTCATGAAACGTTACATTCCTTAGTATTCGGTCGACGGAAAATGTCGGCGGCATGTACGCTGTCTGTCTCCGTAGCAGAAACTGATCCGTCTCTTCCTCTGAAAAAAGATTTAGCGGTTGGGCTGTCTCGGCATTTATGCTTAGAAAAGATTTCACCGAGCACGACGAGCTCACATGAATGATATCAAGGGTATTTAAGGAAACGCATGTTCAAACATAACACTGGTTAGTGATTTGGTCGCAAACGGAGATACGATTAACTGAATTGGCACTATCTACGTGGGAAGGCCCTGCTTTATGTTGCGTATCAGGTGGACAGTCAGTTATTAGGGGCGCACTTCGAGTTGGTGGCTCCTGGACCGTGAGGTGGCCTGCGCGCCTGACGAGAGAAAATCGATCGTGCTCGATGGATGACGCAGCTGGCAGATTTCGCCAGATGGCCGAACGCTGAATGCGAGCAGAAGCGCCCATAGATGACCTTGGCGGCAGGTAGTCAGTGGCGTGATGCGCTGGATCAACACGCGAGCTAAATCGGGGCTTGTCTGGCGTTAATTGGAAACGTCCACTCAGGAAATGTCAACATTTTGTCCGACTTTCAGACATACGTAGACTTTGTCTTTGCTAGACATCCACATTTCCATCAAAAATGTCAGTTGCCGATGCCAGAAATGCCAGAGTCGGTCATAAAAATAAAAGGCTGTGTTTTTACTTAAAACACGGTTAGATCGCCGTCAGTCACAATTTGGACATATCTACTGGACAGGTTATGAGACGAAGTGCGAATATTTGCATGAGTGCAGACGTTATTATTACGAATGTGCGTGTGATAGTATAGGAAATTCAGTCCATGCATATTTCACCCTCTCTTCGCCCCTCCAACTTCAAACTGTTGCTGTCTTTGTTCGATAATGAACTTGAAACTTCAAGTGAACATTACTTTGGCCCTAGTGATCGAGTGATTTTCCTCACAGCAAAATAACACTGTTAAGGAAGCTCCAGTTCTGAAAATGAAGTGGGTTCGGTCTCCGAAGTTGCTCCTAAGAGAAACCGCAGTCTGCTGTATACTTACGTGGTTCCCTACGACAACGAAGGCACTATTAATCAGTCATTGTAAATATCTGTATTTTGCAGTCAGAAGGCTTTTTACATTCAAGGTGAAACAAATGCGATGGAGTTGTGATTAACAACGACGCAGCATGCATCGATCGCAGTCCGTGCACGTGGATTTCGCCAGATGGCCGAGCGCTGAATGCGAGTAGAATCGCCCCTAGATGACCTTGGCAGCAGGTAGTCAGTGGCGTGATGCGCAATTGTTGCGTGTGTACGTCACTGGACAATGGCAGTGTCCCTAAAACCGGTCACGCGGCAGATGCGCTGGATCAACACACGGGCTAGATCGGGGTCTGTCTGGCATTAATTGGAAACAAGCATTCAGCAGATTTGCAACATTGTGTCGACTTCAGCTTGCCAGGTAAACCGTATTTCTAACAAAAATTCCAGTCTCCAAAGTCACAGAATCGCCAAAGTCAGTTTTTAGAACAAAGGATGAGGTAAGTATTTAAAAAACAGCTAGACCGTAAACAATCACAATTTAAATATATTTACTCGGGAAATTGTCAAACGAATTACGAAAAGCTGAAGTGAATGCGGACGTTATGATTGTATACATCCGCATGATAGCATAGGAATTGCAGCTTATAAAAATTTCACCCTTTGTACGTCCCCGAAGTAAGTCTGTTGCTGTCCTTGATCGAAAAGGTATCGGGAAATTCGAGTGAACATTATCATCGCTCCAGAAATTGAGTGATTCTCCCCACATCAAAACGACACTGCTAAGAATGCTTCACTTCTGAGAAATAAAATGGTTCAGTCTCCAAAATTGTCCCTAAGCCTTGGAGTAAGTAAGTCTGTTGCTGTCCTTGGCCGAAAAGGGATCGGGAAGCTCAAGTGAACTTTATTTTCGTCCAAGCTATCGAGTGATTCTCATCACATCAAAATGACACTGCTAAGAATGCTTTACTTCTGAAATATAAGTGTGTTCAGTCTCCGAAGTTTATCCTAAGCTTAACTAGTGGGATTCGAACGCACGAGAGCAAAGAGAGGCTTAAGTATGGCCAACGCTCTAGCCACCTGAGATACGAGGCCCCACCGGACGACGCGAGTTGAATCACATCTAAATCAAGTTTACCCGTCCGATCTAGTGGAACGTCTAGAATACACCATATCTGATAAAGTAAGCTGACTTTCGAAGCAGGATTTTCTAACTTGTACATCCAGACTCCAGCAGATGGCTATGGGTCTCACGTAATTCATAGGTATTATGGCAGATACGATTAATGTAGCGTCGTCCGGTGGCGCCTCGTCGCTCTGTTGGCTAGAGCGTTGGCTGTGCTAAGGCTAACTCTTGCTGTAGAAGGTTCAGACCCCATCAAGACGCCGAGTATTTTATATGCGTGTCAAAATGACTCGTCTGAGTACTTGAGTTTAATACGGCAATATCGACAATAGTCGGCCAAGCTGTAATAGGCTCTCCTTGCCAGTCAAAATAAGGAGATATGGATTACTTGACATAGTTAAACCCTTGCAGTCGTGGGTTCCAGTCCCGTCGTGGCACCGATGTTTAACAATTCAATCAACGTGGATGTGTGAGACTTTAGGAAATATATTCTGTAAACTGAAGGGGCTCTCGGCTCTGGCGGATAGGCAATTTAAGAATATGCAGTGGTTATACCTTCAGTTGTGACAGATCACTGATATGTCAGATAAATTCCCCGCGAGCTGGTTGTAAACCTGCAGATATGTATTCTCTTACGAATGTTGCACTCATTGCATTAGGGCTCCTGTCATCATTATTCACAAACCAAGTGACAGACGCGAGCAGATCACGCCACTCTGGGTGCACAGATTTGCACTAAAATCTACTGATCCGATGCGGAGGGAGGGAGGGAGCTGGCTGGGTGGGGTTTCGTGTGTGCAGATTAAAGGCGTGCTGGTGTTGTGTGTTAGCAGGGTGAGGCTTCAATTCCCGTGAAAGAAGAGGATGACGCACTCTCTACTCGATCTCCTCTTCAGTCTCACAGCAACTGCCGCCCTGAATTACGCTAGCCCTTTGCCTAAGCTAGCGAGCAGATCACGCCACACTGGGTGCACCGATTTGTACTTAAATCTACTGATCCGGTGCGGAGGAAGGGAGGGAGCTGGCTGAGTGGGATTTCATGTTGGCAGATTGCACGCGCGCTCGTGTTTTGGTTTACCAGGGTGGGGCATCGATTCCCGAAAAAGCAGAGGATGACGCACTCTCTACTCGATCTTCTCTTCAGTCTCACAGCGACTGCCGCCCTGAACTACGTTAGCCCTTTGTTGAAGCTCAATGTAGGCATAGGTGATCCAGATGGTGGTGTGGAACTGTTGTTTTTCAGCGGTTGTAATTCAAACGCAGTGTGCTGAAGAGCGTGTTACCGATCAGAGTTAGGCAAACATCGGCAAAATCGCACTGCTTGCATACTGCACAACGTTCTATGAAGTACAGGCGTATGGTTTGGTCTTGGGCAGGATAAACAACGGTGGCGTAAGTGGCAGTGTGAGAACGAGAGAGATTAGATCAGATGATGCGTCGGCTCCACGGTGGCATGAAGGTTCGAGACCCAGACATTTGACCTGACAGGATATGTCAAGGTAAACGACCCCCAGGTAAGCTGAATATTGTCTTGTTGTCTTTGCCCGCTCACCATCTCCATTTCAGCAACGAGCTAGCTCAGCGACTAGACAACCTTCCCATCACTGCCGCTGCCGCCGCCCACGCACCCCATGCCGAGAACGCCTGCGTGGATAACCGATGGTGTCAACTGCGAGACACGGTCCAGTCGACGGCACTCGCCGTCCTCGGTCGCGCTCGACGCCAACATCAGGACTTGTTCGACGACAACGACGCCGTCATCAGCAATCTGCTCGCCGAGAAGAACCGCCTTCACATAGCCTACGTAGACCACCCCACAGATGACAAAAAAGCTGCCTTCTACCGCAGCCTCCGCCACCTTCAAAAACGACTGCGCGAGATGCAGGACGCCTGGACTGCACGCAAAGCTGAGGAAATCCAAGGGTACGCGGACCGCAACGAATGGAAGAACTTACTCTCCGCGATCAAAACTGTCTACGGTCCGCCAACGAGGAGCACTCCTCCTCTCCTCAGCGCCGACGGTAGTAATCCCCTGACTGAGAAGACACAAATTCTACAACGATGGGCCGAGCATTTCCGAGGCGTCCTCAACCGCCCCTCCGTCATCTCAGACGCCGCCATCGCCCGCGTGTCGCAAGTGGAGACCAACGCAGACCTCGACCTCCCGCCATCTCTCCAGGAAACCATCAGGGCCGTGCAGCAGCTCTCCAGCGGGAAAGCACCCGGATCAGACGCAATCCCTGCTGAGGTCTACAAGAACGGAGATCCCCAACTGATGGATCACCTGACTGCGCTCTTCCAGGAGATGTGGCATCAAGGTGAAGTCCCACAAGACTTCAAAGACGCAATCATCCCGCATCTCTAAAGTAGAAATGGAACCGCCAAGTCTGCGACAATCACCGCGGCAACTCCTTGCGGAATATCGCCGGGAAGATCTTCGCTCGCATCCTCCTCAACCGCCTCAATAACCATCTAAAACAGGGCCTTCTGCCTGAAAGTAGTGCGGCTTCCGTCGTCATCGTGGGACCATGGCTATGATCTTCGTCGCCCGTCAACTCCAGGAGAAGTGTCAGGAGATGCGGACCACCTGTATTCTACATTCCTGGATCTGTCGGAAGCCTTCGACACGGTGAATCGTAAAGGACTGTGGAAGATCATGCAGAAATTCGGCTGTCCGGAGCGATTCACTCAGATGGTGCGTCAGCTGCACGACGGTATGATGGCGCGAGTCAAGGACAACGGAGCTGTCTCAGAGGCATTCGCAGTGACTAACGGAGTGAAGCAGGGATGCGTGCTGGCGCCTGCCCTCTTCAGTCTTATGTCCTCTGCCGTGCTGATGGGCGCTTACCGTGATGAACGAGAGCGAGAATTTAGAGCAGACCCGACACATCCACCACAATCGACGCATCCGCCATGCCCATCCGCACCCTCGCTTCATCGACTAGTGCGCCCATCTACACCACGAGAACATCCAGGAAAGGCAGTTTACTGTCGACATCCTTTTCGAGTGTGAACGTAATCCCCGGAATCGTCGAGTTTATATATTTTGTGGAGCGCTTCCAATTGGTCCTTTTTAACGATAAAAAACGTGTCATCGACATATCGCAGCCACAACTTAGGTTTAATTGACGGAAGAGCCGTAGTCTCCAGTTTCTGCATTGTGACTTCGGCGAGAAAACCAGAAATTGGGGACCCCATAGTAGCGCCTTTCAGTTGCTGATAGCAATGTTGGTTGAAGGAGAAGTTGGTTTCCAAGCATAGGTCTATGAGTTCGAGCACGGCAGTTGCGGGAACGTCCATGTCATGGGAAATCAATAATTCTTCTTTTAAAAGGTACCAATTGGAACCGCTCCACAAAAAATATAAACTCGACGATTCCGGGGATTACGTTCACACTCGAAAAGGATGTCGACAGTAAACTGCCTTTCCTGGATGTTCTCGTACAGCGAAAGACTGACGGAACACTACGTACGTCAGTTTAGCGTAAAGACACTTACGCGGAAATCATTCTACCTTACGAGAGCAATCAGCCAATTTCTCACAAACGGGGTGCTGTCAAAAGTCTGCTTAATCGAGGAAAAGCACATTGCTCTGATGAAGAAGGTTATCAAGGCGAAGTTAAATTCTTGTGTGAATTGTTTTCGCGGAATGGGTACCCTAGAGATTTTGTGCGTCGATGCATGAGGCAGAAAGAGTCGGGGAGAAAGGAGCCAGGTAGCCCAAATCAGACGGCCGAACCGAAAACTTGGCGAACACTTCCTTACATTAAAAATGTGTCCGAACTCGTTGAAAGACACTTAAGGAAGCACCAAATTCAGGTGGCGCACCGACCGACGACTACTCTGCGCACTCAGCTCGTGCACCCTAAAGATAAGGTTAACTATTTGGACAAAAAAGAAGTCGTTTACAAGATCCCTTGTGAAGCGTGTGATGCCGTCTATTGTGGCCAGACTGGAAAACGCGCCTCTACACGCATCCACGAACACCAGTTGGCAGTGAAGAGGCGAGACCATCTATCTCAAGTGGCCATGCACACCCTGGACACCGGACACACTTTCGCTTGGGAAAAAACTCGCATTGTCGCTGTGTGCCCCTCAAAGAAAGGCCGAGAGTTCCTTGAGGCCATGCACTCAGACGATTCATGCATCAACAGGCACATCGTGTTGGACGCCGCGTACAGAAATCTCAAGGGGAGATGGAAGAGGCGGGGACCAATCAGAACGGACTGACTAACACGACGGCCGCTTACTGGCGTGAGCGTCAGGCGATTAGAGATTTTTTTTTACGTGCACTTAAGATGTTAGCTGTGTTGGCGCATTTGCTTTCCGTCTGTGCCTCACGACGACTCGGGGAACCGGCGTCGAAAATTTGCACAATAAACTTTCTTTCCCAAAGCACACATTCGACTTCGACTTATATTTCGTGGGATGCCTACCTTCCAACATCTACGTATGAATTACGATCGCAAAGTTTTGCTTCAAGCCAGGCGGTGGGAAGAATGTGCTATTCGCGAAAGTCTAACGAGGGAGCAGTTAACATTCCTACACAGATGCCGAAACAGGAAGATCTTGCCAAAGTCTGTACGTGTGAAGCCGGCCGTCAAATCTACCCTGGGATATCAAATTGCATCTCATTACGGCCGAAGAATGCTTAGTGTGTTCATAACCGATGCCCACTACCGACTTCAAAGATTCCAAGTTTCTAAAGAGCAGCACATGCAGTTTTGTCGTGGCCAACTTCCTTCGGACTTATTTGAGTCCCTAAACGACACGATTACACGTGTCTCCGAGCTCGAACGACAAAAGAAGAGGACAATTTTAGACAGAAAGTGGATAGCTATCTCACAGCAGACCGATGCTGACCAGAAGCGTCCAAAGAAGGTCGTAAACCTTTCCTCGAGAACGCTAACAACGACAGAAGAGAATGTGCTTTCCAAGGGACTGAAGTACAATCTTTTTGACTCAAACTACTTGGATTTCCTTGCGAGCTTAGAATCCATCATTTCGGCAGGAAACCTTACGGAAAACGAACGGTTTACCATCCGAAACAGCACCGCACAAGCCATTTTTCAGTACTATCACACGAAGAAAAGAGTGCGTTAAAGAGTCTGCGAACTGACAAAAATATTATCATTCTCCCTGCAGACAAGGGGGGCTCAGTCGCAATTTTGAACAGAACGGACTACAATAATAAGATGATGTCATTGTTGGAAGATGGATCTACTTATAAACCACTTTCAGCGGCTCCTACCAATGCACAGCTTTCATCCATTGATAAAGTTCGAAAGCGTCTTACAGGGAAGCAGCAACTGTCAGGAGATATAGCGAAATCCCTGAGACAAAATGAACCGACAATCGCGAAGATGTATGGATTGCCTAAAGTCCACAAGGCGGGTGTCCCACTACGAACGATAGTATCATTAATCGGGGCACCGAACTACAAAATTTCCAAGTGGTTATTCCAAAAACTTCATCCGCTTTCGAGGAACTGTGAAACTTCAATTGAGAACTCAAATGCGTTTCTAAAGAAATTGGAAGGAAACACAATCTCTTCTGATGAAATAATGGTTTCCTTCAAAGTCGTGTCCCTCTACACAGCGATACCTCTAGATGTGGCAAAACAATGCACAAAAGAATTATTGATTTCCCATGACATGGACGTTCCCGCAACTGCCGTGCTCGAACTCATAGACCTATGCTTGGAAACCAACTTCTCCTTCAACCAACATTGCTATCAGCAACTGAAAGGCGCTACTATGGGGTCCCCAATTTCTGGTTTTCTCGCCGAAGTCACAATGCAGAAACTGGAGACTACGGCTCTTCCGTCAATTAAACCTAAGTTGTGGCTGCGATATGTCGATGACACGTTTTTTATCGTTAAAAAGGACCAATTGGAAGCGCTCCACAAAAAATATAAACTCGACGATTCCGGGGATTACGTTCACACTCGAAAAGGATGTCGACAGTAAACTGCCTTTCCTGGATGTTCTCGTACAGCGAAAGACTGACGGAACACTACGTACGTCAGTTTAGCGTAAAGACACTTACGCGGAAATCATTCTACCTTACGAGAGCAATCAGCCAATTTCTCACAAACGGGGTGCTGTCAAAAGTCTGCTTAATCGAGGAAAAGCACATTGCTCTGATGAAGAAGGTTATCAAGGCGAAGTTAAATTCTTGTGTGAATTGTTTTCGCGGAATGGGTACCCTAGAGATTTTGTGCGTCGATGCATGAGGCAGAAAGAGTCGGGGAGAAAGGAGCCAGGTAGCCCAAATCAGACGGCCGAACCGAAAACTTGGCGAACACTTCCTTACATTAAAAATGTGTCCGAACTCGTTGAAAGACACTTAAGGAAGCACCAAATTCAGGTGGCGCACCGACCGACGACTACTCTGCGCACTCAGCTCGTGCACCCTAAAGATAAGGTTAACTATTTGGACAAAAAAGAAGTCGTTTACAAGATCCCTTGTGAAGCGTGTGATGCCGTCTATTGTGGCCAGACTGGAAAACGCGCCTCTACACGCATCCACGAACACCAGTTGGCAGTGAAGAGGCGAGACCATCTATCTCAAGTGGCCATGCACACCCTGGACACCGGACACACTTTCGCTTGGGAAAAAACTCGCATTGTCGCTGTGTGCCCCTCAAAGAAAGGCCGAGAGTTCCTTGAGGCCATGCACTCAGACGATTCATGCATCAACAGGCACATCGTGTTGGACGCCGCGTACAGAAATCTCAAGGGGAGATGGAAGAGGCGGGGACCAATCAGAACGGACTGACTAACACGACGGCCGCTTACTGGCGTGAGCGTCAGGCGATTAGAGATTTTTTTTTACGTGCACTTAAGATGTTAGCTGTGTTGGCGCATTTGCTTTCCGTCTGTGCCTCACGACGACTCGGGGAACCGGCGTCGAAAATTTGCACAATAAACTTTCTTTCCCAAAGCACACATTCGACTTCGACATATATATATATATATATATATATATATATATATATATGCATGTTAAGTGGGCGTTTGACCCTCACTGCTGTGGTTAGGATCTCACTCGATCCCATTCTGTCCGCCCGCCAGCTTGCTACTGGCGACAACGAACGCTGTGTCAGAGGACACATACCACATATAATACAAATATTTAACAAATTTGTTTTCTGCAGTGCATTTTGTTCACTTGCGTTTCGTCCCTTCCTGTCGTCCTCATCCTGCTGCCATATTGTTTCCACACACTCTTTAGTACTTCTGCTCTGCGTTCTTCCTCCAACCGTGGTGGACTTTATTTGCCGGTCTTGCTGCCCCTTTCTCGTCAATCTTTTCTTGACGCCGTCCATCCTCCCGCTTTGTCTCTTCGATTAATTGCTGCCTTT